GCGCCCCGCAGGGCGGCGGGCAGCGATCGCTGCGGCACCCGGCAGCGCTTCTGCACCTCCGCTGCCTCCCCCTGCGCCTCCCTAAACCTCCCCTGCACCCCTCCTGTATCACCCGCGTCCTCCCTGCACCTCCCGCATACCCCGAAGTTCTGCATCCTTGCAATGCCCTGTACCCCTCCTGCATCCCCCCCTGCCCCTTCCTGAATCCTTCCTAAATCCTTTCGGCACTCTTACACCCTTCCTGTATTCCCCGACAGCTGGGGAAATCCTAAATCCTCCCTGCATCCCTGCACCCCTCCTGTGTCCCCTTAAATCCTCCCTGCACCCCTCCTGTGTCCCCCTAAATCCTCCCTGCATCCCTATGCTCCCTGCATGACTTTACATACTCCCTGCAGCCCTCTCGCACCCCCCTCACCCCTGCACTGCCTCCTGCCTCCCTGCACCCCAGCCCTGCATCCCACCCGGCAGCAGGAGGGGATCCCTCTGGTCCCCTCCTGTCCCTCGCTCCCCTCGCCATGGAGAGCCCGTGCTGCCCTGCCCGCACCTACCTGTGCACCCGTGGGAAGGGATTTTCCTCTCTGAGGATGCACAGGTCAAATCTTGCCGTTGCCGCTCCCTTATGGGTGGCTGTTTGGGTGACTGTGCCCCCCCAAGGATGCTGGTGGGGGCTGGAGGGGAGGCAGCCCTGGGGACGTGCCGAGCTGGAGGAGAACAACCTCGCCTGAGCTTCCAGCAAGTGGGGAGGATTTTGTAGGTTCCTGGGAGGGGATGGAGGTGGGCTGAGCCCCAGTGGAGCCACCCAGCCCTGGGGCTGAGCGCGGTTGGCCTGGCACAGGGGGTGAATAGCGGGGAGCAGCACCCCTTCCCGGGGCTGTGCTGGGCACCCATGGGAGCCGGGGTGGAGGTGGTGCTGGCCTGGGGCATCGCGGCTCTCTCCAGGGCCCATGCTTTGCTGGGGCAACAAGGGAATGATGAGCCCGTTTGGCGTCGCAGGTGCACGTTTCTAACGGGGAGCGTGACCATGGCCACAGGGGGGACAACCAGCCCCCCCAGCATCCCTCGTCACACCAACCGCCTGATTAACGAGAAGTCCCCCTACCTCCTGCAGCATGCTCACAACCCTGTGGATTGGTAAGAGCGACTGGTGCCTTCTTCCTTCCTTCTCCTCCTCTCCTTGCGGCTGTGGGGCCGAGGGACTCGCTGCCATGGAAGCAATGGCAGGCGACGCAGCCTGGCCTCCTGTGCAGCTCCCTGTGGGCTCGGGGTCCATGCTTCTGAGCCAGCTGTGCCCCTGGCTGTCCTGACTGCTCTCCACCAGACAGCAGCTTCTCTGGCAGCTTTAGAGGAGCCTGTGTCCCAGCAGCGGTGACCCCTGAAGCTCCTTTCTTGTCTTCCCTCCACAGGTACCCTTGGGGTCAGGAAGCCTTTGATAAAGCAAAGAAAGAAAACAAGCTGATATTCCTGTCAGGTAACCAGAAACAAGACATATTTCATGTTCCCACGTGTTGTTTGGTAGATGACCAAATAAGCCGGGCTGCGTCCCAAGCTGGAGTGCAAGCAGCCACGTAGGTAAGGATGGATGCCGAGCACTAATTCTCTGCTAGGGAGAAAGGGCCACGTGTTTTAATAGCTCGCTCTGAAGATGGGCTGAAGATGACCAGAGTCCTTGGCCAGATTTTAGGAGCAAGAGCTGGAGAGCCCAGGAGGCCCTGCAGGCCTCCGTGGTTGCAGGAGGCCGTTTCTCCTCCACCTCTTCCCTAGGGGGGCAGCAGCTGTTGCCCATAGCAGGGTTCCCCAGCTCTGAGCCATCTCCCCATAACACGTCCTGCTCCCTGCAAAGGGCCTTTCCTCACTTGCCCAAGCTTGTTTTCAGTTGGGTACTCCACTTGCCACTGGTGCCATGTGATGGAGGAGGAGTCCTTCAAGAACAAGGAGATCGGGGAGATTATGAACAAGAACTTTGTGTGCATCAAAGTGGATCGAGAGGAGCGGCCAGATGTGGACAAAGTGTACATGACCTTCGTGCAGGTAAGGGAAGCACAGGCAGGGCTTGGGATGTTTTGCCTGGCTCTCTCAAGATGAGGTTCATGGTCGTGTTCCTCAGGCAAGAAGAACCAGTGTGTGGGGTGGTCTGAATGGGGCCATGCATGATCACAAGGGTGGAGAGAAGCACACGTCTGTCCTCAAGCGAGGCACTTGGATGTGCTGGCAGGGTACAGAGCAGAGGGTGCCTCTTGCATGACCTTGGTGCACCCATGATTTGTCTTTCAGGCAACCAGTGGTGGAGGTGGCTGGCCGATGAGTGTCTGGCTGACTCCAGACCTCAAGCCCTTTGTAGGGGGGACATACTTTCCTCCTGAAGATGGAGTTTATCGTGTTGGCTTTCGGACTGTGCTGCTCCGAATCGCAGAGCAGGTATGGAGCTGGAATGGCGTAGCAGGCAGTGCTCAACCAAAGGGGCTGCAGAGAAATCAGTCTGGGCTTGATGGAGGACGGAGATAAGATACAGTCATGAGAAACAGTAGCCCAGAGAACACGTCAGGGCTTTGGCTGGGTTAGAGATGGATTGGAACTGATGTGGGGTGGGGGGACCAAGAACTAAAGGTGCGGTTTGGACTGGTGCAATGTAGGAAGCAGAAAGAGAGACAAAAAATGGAAGAACTGACTTTCTCACTCTGCATGTTAGTGGAAAGAGAACAAAGATGCCCTGTTGGAGAACAGCCAGAAGATCCTGGAAGCACTGCTACACAGGTCCGAGATCCGTGTGCGGGGCCAGGAGTCACCCCCACCAGCCAAAGAGGTGATGGCCACCTGTTTCCAGCAGCTCTCCAACTCCTATGATGAGGACTATGGTGGCTTTTCCGAATCCCCCAAGTTCCCCACCCCAGGTCAGTCTGGCCTCTGCTGCTGAGCCCTGCCGTGGGGCAGGCAGCGCCGTGGGGCAGAGCCCACCCCACAGCCTCTCCCTTTCACCCTGTATTTCAGTGAATTTGAATTTCCTCTTCACGTACTGGGCCCTGCACCGAACAACTCCAGAAGGTGCCCGGGCACTTCAGATGGCTCTGCATACCCTGAAGATGATGGCCCATGGGGGCATCCACGACCACATCGGTCAGGTAGGAGGAAAGCCTTGGGGGTAAACCCCTGGCATGCCTAGGAGGCATGGGGTGGAGCTGTGGGGTGGAGCCGTGTCCACTTGCTCTTTGCAGGGGTTTCACCGCTACTCCACTGACCAGCACTGGCATGTCCCTCACTTTGAGAAGATGCTGTACGACCAGGGGCAGCTGGCAGCTACATATAGCAGAGCGTTTCAGGTATGGCTGTGGCGTCCCTCTGCAGGAGGGCTCACTTGGTATGCTGAGTGCTGGCTGGGGAGGGCTGGTTTGGTTTGGGGAGCAGATCCAAAGCCTGTTCCCTAAGATGTTGCCCATCCTGGGAGCATGGAGCGGTCCCATGCTCCCCTTCATCTACTGGTCTTTGTCTGGACAGGAATGCTGCACAAAGCTGTCACAGTTTAGCCCCGGGGTTTTGAGCGTAATGGGGGAGGGAACAGCTTTCTGGCTGGTCTTTGCAAGAGTCAGCAAACACGTGCTGCTGCCTCTGACCTCGCTGTAACCCCAGGGTTGCTCTCCAGTGCCTGTAGATTTCTATCAGAGATCTTACTCTGAATCCATCCCACGTTTAAAACCCCTGGACATTCAAATGTGTTTCCCCTCCTTTGCCAGCTCCTTAAATGAGTATCACTTATTGCATCTCGCTGTGCCTCTTGCCTCCCCTCTGCCCCTTTTAACATCGACGTCCACCCCATGCAGATCTCTGGCGATGAATTCTTTGCCGATGTTGCCCAAGACATTCTGCTCTACGTCTCTCGGGACCTGAGTGACCAGGTAGGTTGTTCCCTGAGCTGGGCCAAAGAGAGATGCTTACCCTGCCCTGTGATGTGCCTTGGGGCTGCTTTTCCCTCCCTCCCTTCCCAGCTAAGCTCAGTCTGGGGCACTGCTGCGACTTGCTGGCCAGACTGCCAGCCTGGCATTGATGGGGAGCTGGCTGAAGGTGCTGTCCCGGTAGCTGGAGGGACTCTCTGTTGCTCTTTTCCCAGGCAGGAGGTTTCTACAGTGCAGAAGATGCGGATTCCTACCCGACCACTGCATCTGGAGAGAAGCGAGAAGGAGCTTTCTGTGTGTGGGCAGCCGAGGAAATCCGGGCTCTCCTTCCTGACCCTGTCGAGGGGGCCACAGAGGGGACAACCCTGGGAGATGTCTTCATGCACCACTATGGAGTGAAGGAGACTGGCAATGTGAGCCCCATGAAGGTGAGGGAGAGCAAAGGCCTGGCCGGTACTGGGAGCATCAGTGGGGAACCCACACCTCTGGGCATGGGGGGATGGCAGAGCAGCCCCAAAGCACGCGGGGTCCAACCCCTCCTCAGCCCGGCGGCATTTGTAGAACGGGGCTCTCCTTTCAGGACCCCCATCAGGAGCTGAAGGGCAAGAACGTCCTTATTGTCCGGTGCTCCCTGGAGCTGACGGCGGCCCAGTTCGGGCTGGAGCTGGGGCAGCTTGGTGCCCTGCTGCGGGAGGGCCGGCGGAGGCTGGCTTTAGCCCGGGCTCAGCGGCCACGGCCACACTTGGACACCAAGATGCTGGCAGCGTGGAACGGTGAGAGGTGGCTCAGTTCCGGGGGTGTGTGCTTTGGCTGGACCCCGCCATGGCTGCCTGGGGCCAGCACATTTTTGGGGGCTTGTAGCAACGAGTCCTGCTGGGAGCGGACAGCCCCCCAGGGAGGCAGTGGGTGGGCCGGGATCCGGAGCTGTGGGAGTGCATGGGGGAAGCTGTCCCACACCTGCAAGCTGTGGGGGTTGCTGAGGGTCAGGATATTGCTCTGGCTTTATTTTCCTTCCCTGTTGCCAGCAGAGAGCAGCAAAACTCTTCCCCTGGCTCAGCCCAGCTCCCCCCGCTGGGCTCTGGGGAAGGGGACTGAGCTGGGGATTCAGAACCCAGACAGGATGCAGAGCCCATCTCCTGCTGCATCAGTGGGGGGGACCACAGCTCTGAGTCTGTCTGTCCAGGTGTCCTGCAGCAGGTAATAACTGCACTACCCCAGGCACTGTTCCCAGCTGTAGATGCCTGGGTAACTGGGTCTGGAGCTGGCGTGAGCTGGAGTTATACCACGGCCTGCAAACAGGAGGGCTCTCTTAAGCCCTGTTTCTGCCCACAAGCAAAAGCTTAGCTCTTGCTGGCCTTGCAGTGATCTGTCCTTCTCTTTGGTGACAGTAAGTGACTTTCTTAGTGGTTTGAACTGAGTGGAAGAGCTGACTGAGCTGCCTCAAACAGCAGGGAGGATGAGCTTCACGCAGAGCATCCTTTAAAGGAAAGACGGTGACACCCCTGCTCGTCCCTTGTTCCCCCCTGAGCCTGTCCCCGTGTCTGTGCCTACACAGGGCTGATGATCTCGGGCTTTGCCCAGGCTGGGATGGCCCTGGCTGAGCAGGAGTACGTGAGCCGGGCTGTGCAGGCAGCTGCCTTCCTGCGGAGACACCTTTTTGACCCCACCAGTGGGAGGTTGCTGCGGAGCTGCTACCGGGGCAAAGACAACACGGTGGAGCAGAGGTGAGCAGTGGTACCCAGAGTGTCTCTGGACCTCCCAGCCACCCTGTGGGAGCTGCCCAGGCCCCCAGTGGTCCATGTCCTCCCCTCCTTCAGGCAGGACTCAACTTGGGAGGGAGGGAGGCTGTTTGCCTTGTGCAGAACTGTCTCTGGTGCAGTTTGGGATGGATTAGTGTCCCCTGCCCAGTGAGGAGGAATTAAGGTCAAATCCTTTTCCATTCCTCATATTTGGAGCTGGCAGAAGCCTTCCTCTGCCCTTCCCTGCTGCTGCTCGGCCATCCAGAAACCTGGGGCTGAGCTGTGTGATGGCTTGGCACAGTCACTGCTTATCTTGGACTGAGCTCTGAGGTGGCATCTCCTTGGGTAGTGGAGACCAGTAGGTAGGGCTTTGCTGGGCTGGAGTAGATTTCCCACCTGGCCAGTGTAGAGACCCTGATGCTCCTGTCCCATCTGCCACTGCAGCGCCGTGCCCATCCAGGGCTTCCTGGAGGATTATGTCTTCGTCATCCAGGCTCTCTTTGACCTGTACGAAGCCTCGCTGGAGCAGGGCTGGCTGGAGTGGGCCCTGCAGCTCCAGCACATGCAAGACAAGCTCTTCTGGGACCCCAAAGGCTTTGCGTATTTCTCCAGTGAGGCTGGTGATCCCTCTCTGCTCCTGCGCCTGAAGGATGGTGAGCTCGGGGACATGGCCATGCTCTGCATGAGTTATGCTGTGGGGCAGCTTAGGGAGGGCAGAGGTGATGCCTGGCTGGAGGACCAAGCCGTGGGGTGGTGAGGCATTGGACTGATGGAGGAGCTGTTGTCCCCTGCAGACCAAGACGGAGCAGAGCCCACTGCCAACTCTGTCACTGTCACAAATCTGCTCCGAGCAGCTTGTTACTCTGGCCACGCGGAATGGGTGGAAAAAGCTGGGCAGATCTTGGCTGCCTTCTCAGAGAGGCTGCAGAAGATCCCGATAACCCTGCCAGAGATGGCCCGGGCCACTGCTGTCTTCCATCACACCCTCAAACAGGTATGGGCTGGGGCTCCTGTCCTTTACAGGACCTGCTGCAGGGTGGGCGGTGGTGTAGGTGCAGTCACAGCTCTCTGCTTTCTCCCTCCTGTCACCCACGCTCTCCCCGGACAGGTCGTTATCTGCGGGGACCCCCAAGGAGAAGACACAAAAGAGATGCTGCGCTGCGTCCACTCCATCTTCAGCCCAAATAAGGTAGAGGTGCCAGCCCTCCCCTGGCCCCCCGTGCAGCCGCTCCCCCCCAGCTACCCTCACACTCCTTGCTGCCATCTGCATTGCTGGTGCCTTCATCTTCTCCCAGTGCAGCTGTAGCATCCACCCTCCCCCTCCTCTGTCCTGCCTCCCTTCTGGGAAGCATCCTATCCTTTCCATATTCGTAAGCGCAGCCAGCAGGGCCACAACTGAGCCCCTTGCGCCCCTCTCCCTGGCACGGAGTGCTGGCAGCCCACCCCGAGGAAAGGCTGCAGCAGCGGCTGCTGTCGCTGCTGGCTGTTTCCACTGCTCTCAGCCTGAGCCCAGCATCCCCAGCGCTGCTCTCCCAAGGGAAAGCTTTTCGTTCCGGTGCGGATGTGTCGTGCCTGGTACAGATCCAGCTGGTGTCTGGGTCACCTTCTGCCTGGAGCTACCCTTGCATCCTTGGGAAGCGGCAAGGTGGCACCGGCTGTGTTGTGGGTGTGTGTACCCCTGGCCGGCAGGGGCTGGCTTTTCCCAAAATCTTTGCCCCCAGCTGTGTGCTGGGGTTGCCGCCTCGCATCCCTGCTCAGAGATGCGTCGCTCGGTGTGTCCCATGGAGGGGCCGTGCTGCCGTGGGGACAGAGCTGTTTGCTGCCCGCAGAGCTGGCCGGGAAGGGCAATGTGGCAGCTGGCTGCTGTCACGTTCGGCGGGCAGTGTCCCTGCCCCGGGGATGGATGGCTTACGCCTTGGCCGAGGGAAGCAGGGCTGGGCAGTGGGCAAGCCTCTGGACCAGATCCATCCCTGCCTGTTGGGGTCCTGGTGCCAGGGACTGGCACGCTGAGCCACAGCACGTGGGGAGCTGGCACTGGGACCAAAGCACCGGTTTTCCTCTGTAGCCCCGGCTGGGGTGAACTGGGGAGGGCTGAGCCATCAGCATGGGATTCCCTGCTCTGTCCTCACATGAGCTCAGCCCACGGAGGCTTTTGTCCCTGGCCCTCTGCCTACATGCTCAGCGGCATTTAACGCTGGTGTTGGAGGACGGTCACAAGTGCCTGGGAGCGTGGGTCGGGGATGCAGCTCTCTGTCTTTCCTCCGCCATCTCCTGTCCAGCAGCGCCCTTGGCCCTGCCCATCTCCGTGCTGCGTGCCAGGCCTCTGCTACCACACTCTTCCTCTCTCCCTTTGAAAGATTACGGTGGGTGACCCAGTTTGAAGGGACGGGAAGTGCCGTGGTGGCAGTGGGAAGCCCAGCGTCGCTGCTAATACCTGCCTCCCTTTCCCTGCAGCTGGTTCAGCCGTGGGTCCCCTGAGTCCATGCAGACTCCCAGGGGGGGACGCAGCTGGCAGCTTTGGGGTCTTGAGCAAATAGCGCAGCCATTCCCTCTCCTCCCGTGCAGCTTGGCTCCCTCCTGCCAAGCTGGTAACAAGCCTGGCTGGTGGGGATGCTTGATCCCCAGGGCCAGGTCTGTCTCCCCCAGGCTGTTGCCTTCCTTAGACCGTGGAGGAAGAGGAGGGCTGGGTGCTCTGGATGGATGTTTCCGTGAGGGAACGAAGCCATGGGGTGCTCAGGAGCTGCCCGAGCACAGCGGTGCCTGCCTGGGCTGTGTGCAGGGGGGTTGTGCATGGAGGGGTGCACGGGGGGTGCAGCTGTGGGCTGGGCATGCCCACCCTTGTCTGTGCCTCATGGCGGGATGGAGCAGGATCTGTCCCGTTCAGCAGCCTGGGTTTGTTTCCTGGAAAAAGGAATGTGGCAGGAGGATCTCTGCCGGCAAGGCCCTCTCCCCAGAGGAGCACAGCCCCATGGGGGCTTCCCCGGTGCCGTGCTCATTCCCTGCAGGCAGCCTGGTCTCTGGCAGTAGCGATGGCTCCTTGCCTTGCAGAGGTGATGGAGAGAAGGGAGGAGAAGCCCACTGCTCAGAGGGTCACGCTGCCTTCGAGAGCAGCCTGCCACCTCCCAACAGCCGTCCCTCTTTCTGTGCTGCATCCCATGGAGAAGGGAGGCGTGGGTGCTCCTTTCCCCACCTGCCTTCAGCCCCTTCCAGCTGCTCCCCATCTCTTCTTCCCCCCGAGAACCTGCCCGAGGCGGAGCAGCCCCGGGTCACCCGCTCCGGGGATGCAGCAGCTTTGGGAATAGGCTTTGCCAAGGAGTTGAGGAAACGTCACCGCTGTGTCCCCTGCTACCCCCGCTCCCTTGGTGCCAGCAGGGCGCTGGGGGCTAGGCTTGTCTGCCGGAACACAATTAATTAGGTCGTTCCAGTAATTAATTCCTTACAAACCTCACATTGAAATCCTTGCTGTAACGAGATGCCGATGATAAAATGGCGTTGAGGTCGCGGGTTTAAATGGACCCCGCGCCCGGAGGAGCCCTTCGCCGCAGGCAGCAGCCGCTGCTGCAGGGATGCGAGAGCTCTGGGGGCGATGCCGGCGGCTGCTCCCCTGGGGGTCCCAGTGTCAGCAGCAGAGAAGGTTGGATCCCTGCTCCAGGGCTGGATCCTGGCTCCTGGTATAGATCCCTACCCTGTTAATGGTCTTTAGGGTAATTAGGAAGGATCCCATTATCTCCTCAGCTGCAGAGCGCTAGCCTGCCGCTCGCCTTCATCCTGGCCCCGCAAGAGGACCTTAGGGAGCTTGTGAGAAAAATGAATAATGAATTTCAGATTGGACATGAATTGGTAATTAATCACTCCTGGAATTAATTCCAGACAAAGGCGAGGGGGGAGGAGGTTGAGGGGGGAGCAGGAGGCAGGCAGGGAAACGGGCTGAGCTAGAGCTGGGTCAAGGCAGGGGTTGAGGGGGGGATGTGGGGCGATTGGGACAGGATGGGGCTGCAGCAGCTGTTACCAGGGCACGGCCTTGGGGATGTGGTGACCCCCTGGGGACAGCGGGGTGAGGGCATCCCCTGCCAGACATGGGGGAGGCTGTACGGGCATCCCTGCTGGGGGTGGGTGCTGGGTTCGCTCCTGGCCCTGGGGCCAGTGGCAGAGGATGCTGTGTGCTGGGCCAGCAGTGTCCTGGCGGGAGGGGTGTGTGCCACTGCCCGGCAGGGGCAGTGGGAGCCGGGGCGGTGGTATTTGGGGTTGGCATCCCTCGTCGGCAGCGTAAACGTGTGGCGAGCGTGTCGGTGCTTGGCAGGCAGGCGTGCGAGGCTGGGGCCGGGCACGGGTGAGGGAGAGCCGTGTGCTCCTGCCGTGCCTTGGGCCTGGGAAGGGTCCTTGCTTTGCTCACCCTTTGCTTCAGAGTCAGCACCAGGCTCCGTGCCAGCTCCTGGCCTTTCCCCTCATTAACCCGCAAGCCCTGAGGCTTTGACAAACATTTTCTCTTTCAGAAAAGCTAATTATCACCGCAGCCCCGTCATCACCCCTGGCTGGTCCTGCCCTGTGAGCCAGCAGAGCCCCTGACCCACTGCTTGCCAGTGTCCGAGCTTTTGGGAAGCGGCCGGAGGGCTGAAGGAGCTGGGCTGCGGGGTGGGAAGGGGTGATGCTGCTGCTGGGGCTGGGGCTGCCCCTGGGCTGGGTGGGTGTCCCCAGGGCAGGCCCCTCTGGGCTGGTGTGCACTGGTCTCCGTGCTTCATCCCCGTGCTTCATCCCTGGCTGCTGGGTGTCCGGAGGGGAAGAGGGAGGCAAAGCTGCTGGGGATGGTGTGGACCATGGGCTCCCTGTGGCGCAGGTACAATGGGGGTGTGGCCACCGTGGGACCCTGGCGGAGGGCTGGCAAGAGTCCCCTCGGCTCCCTGTTCCCTTCCCCTCTTTGGGCGAGTGTACGGGGGACCCTGCCAGCGCTTGGCATGTCTGCAGGGAGGGAAGGACCAGCTGGCTGGTGCTGGCTGCGCCCTCACAGCTCCTTCTCCGGCAGGTGCTGATGCTAGCAGACGGAGACCGCGCTGGGTTCCTCCACTGCCAGTTGCCTTTCCTTGCATCCCTGGAGAGGAAGGACGGGAAAGCCACCGCCTATGTCTGCAGCAACTTCGCCTGCTCCCTGCCTGTCCCCCCGCCCCCGGCCCGTGAGCCCCTCGGCCCCTCTGCCTGCAGGATGGCGAGGGGGGGGCAGGCTGTCACGCCAGCTTGGGAACACGGGAGAGACCCGTAATAAAGCCACCCTGCGCATCAACTGCCTCCCGGATGGTTCCAGGCAGTGCAGTGGGGCTGTGCCCTTCCCTGCCTACAGCAGATCGGGCTCTGCTTGTGCCGCTGCTCCGGCAGCATCTGGGCAGAACTGGCTCTGGTCCCTGGTGCTGGTTTTGGCATGGCCAGGAGGCACCCACCGAGGAGCAAGCATCTCCTCTGTGCACACGCTCGCTCCTCATCTCTTCTTGCCGAGGAAAAGGAAAACAAATTAAATATAAATCCCAGCGTTAATGGTGAAGTCAGATGGGAAAACTATTAGGGTTCCTATAGCAACCCGGGGCAACACTGTCAAAAGCACCTGGATGGCTTGGGAGTCAAGTGCTTTTGAAAGTGTTACTGGTTGCGACAGCTGCGGTATTTTTCCATTACAGGGTAGATTGTAACATACATTAAGTTAATATATAGTGCATGCAAAAAAAACCTGCTGATTACCGCAGCTGATGAAAACGTGCCACAAGACCCAGCCTAAGCGCTTCCAAACTGCTAACCATCCCATCCTGGCTTTGCCAAGGGTGCAGGGACCTGGGACGGCTCAAGAAAGGATTTTTCAAAGTCCCGTTTTCTCTGTAAAAGGCCCGGCAGCCAGTGCCT